AAATCCCTGACATCCAAGAAGATCCCGATGGCAGAGAATCCGCAACATGCTCTCAACAGTATGCTCGCCACCGCAGAGTCCCTTTCGAAACGGGGGCTTGATGTTAGGGTTATTCTATTTACGTCACCGGTGGCGTCATTTCTTATATACGTCACCGCTCGTATCTCAGCCCACAGAGCTTCAATTGGCACAAAATGAATTGCGTTGTGTAGCTATGACCCACAGCAATCATACAAGCCAACTTGAAGCAGAATCCACTCGGTAGTTGGAGAGGCATGCTCGAAAAAGGGGTCTCAGCGGCATCAAACGGTGGGCACCAATCACATATTCCACCGTAACTCCGCGGCAAGAGCTCCAATCGACGTCAAACAAACTGTGCTGGTTGACCACACGCCGTAGCCGTCGTTCAAGCCATCGGGAACGTCCATCCGACCAGTGGTTGCCGAGATATACCCTCAAACGGGGGTACGGTGGCACCGTAGGGCGGTGGCGTAAATAAGCTTATATAGACGCCACCGCCCGTATCTCAGTCCACAGAACTTCAATTGGCATGAAACAAATTGTGTTGTGTGGCTATGACCAACAGGCGTCATACACGTCATCGGGGACGTGCATCCGACCAGTGGTTGCCGAGATATACCCTCAAACGGGGGTACGGTGGCACCGTAGGGCGGTGGCGTAAATAAGCTTATATACGCCACCGCCCGTATCTCAGTCCACAGAACTTCAATTGGCACAAAACAAATTGTGTTGTGTGGCTGTGACCAACAGGCGTCATACACGTCATCGGGGACGTGCATCCGACCAGTGGTTGTCGAAATATGCTCTCCCACGGAGGCACGGTGGCATTAAAAGGTGGGCACCAACCACATATTCTACCGAAACTCCGCGGCAAGAGCTCCAATCGACGTCAAACAAACTGTGCTGGTTGACCACACTCCGTAGCCGTCGTTCAAGCCATCGGGAACATCCATCCGACCAGTGGTTGCCGAGATATACCCTCCCACGGGGGTACGGTGGCACCGTAGGGCGGTGGCGTAAATAAGCTTATATACGCCACCGCCCGTATCTCAGTCCACAGAACTTCAATTGGCACAAAACAAATTGTGTTGTGTGGCTATGATCTACAGGCGTCATACACGTCATCGGGGACGTGCATCCGACCAGTGGTTGTCGAAATATGCTCTCCCACGGAGGCACGGTGGCATTAAAAGGTGGGCACCAACCACATATTCTACCGAAACTCCGCGGCAAGAGCTCTAATCGACGTCTAAACTTAGGGTTAGCCACAGCTCTAAAACGAAGAAACACAAGACGACCGGATGACCGGTTCTGTCACGAATACCAGGGTTTCCCATGGTAGTGGCAGGGTTTTCATGATCGTGGTACTGTCGTTGCGTGGTGCAAACAGGAGGATGACGACTCCGACAGCAAAAAAGATTTAGACGGCCTTCAGACCGGGGGTGGAGGGCGCAAGATGAAAAAGGTGAGCCTCGCCGCAGCTCGGCGCCCAGGTATTGTCTCTTGTTGCGTGGCATATCCCGGGCACACGGGTTTCGTCTGGCGTTGCGGTCGCTCCCGATATGGTGGTGGTGTCAAAATTGGCAATCATTACGTCCTACGTACCGTTATGTTCTCCGTGCTGTGCAAGCAGGAGGGCCACGACCCCAACACGGAGAAAGAGTCAGACGGGCGGCAGAGCGGGGGTGTCGGACCAGATATAAAAAAGATGAGCTTCCCCAATGTTTGGCCATGAAAAAATTGTCGGTGTGGCCATCCACATTCTATTCTAGTTGGCGCTTCTTCGTCGTGACTTGCCGAATTTTGCCGAGGTCTTTGGGTGTATTGTTAAAGTTGAGTTCTTTGGCACCATCGTGTTGGCGTCGTCCGATGCAAACAGGAGGACGGCGGATCAGACAGCGACAATGCGTCCGGGCCTCAGAGCAAGGATGGCGCACGAAAAAGCCAGCAGGTGAGCATGCAGCACGTACGTCTCACCGACTGATTCAGGGAGTGTCTCCATGTACGTGTTCGTTCAGCATCGACAAATGGTGAAAGGTCTAGCGGCAAGCGTGGGACCATTGACATCGGTTCCTCTGGTGAATGTTTTGCTGCTGGCCCTTTGCTGTTTCGCTTGAGGCAGGACTGCGGCAGCAGCGAAGACGCCCCAAACAAGGAAGGGAAAGAGAAGCGTTGGGGTGGGGGGGACGCGGAAGGGGTAGCGAGAGTTTGGCGCATGTTCGATGCGAAANTTCGCTTGAGCCAGGACAGCGGCAGCAGCGAAGACGCCCCAAAGAAGGAAGGGAAAGAGAAGCGGTGGGGTGGGGGGGACGCGGAAGGGGTAGCGAGAGTTGGGCGCATGTTCGATGCGAAAGGTTCCCCGCCCGAGACTTGGGACCACGTGTTCTCAACGCTTCTTGGCGAGCTTGCAGAAAAAGGGCATCACACCCTCTTAGGAAAAAAAAAAAAAGTGAGTCCTGACGGGTGTACTTGGTGGCGGCTATTGGGCGGCTTTTTTGGTTGAGGTTTCTTTCGGTCGCTCGCTTTTGCTCGCTTTTGCTCGCCATGAGTCAATGAGAGGGCCCGAAGAGTAATNACTGTACTGGAACGGTTTCAAGGCAGCCTGCGTGGGCACACCGCGCGTTACTCGCGGGTCGTAGAGTCTTTCAAAGATCATGGCCATGGCCACATCAAGTCTTAGCGTCTGACATCACAGCTCGTGCGCGCCGCTCATCTACGTCTTCGTGACTGTGACAGATTGGATGCCCGTTCAAGCTGGTAATAACTTGGCGAGTTGAAGCCCCCAGCCCATCCATCACCTCAGTGAGTCGTGGCCAAGACGCGTTGTCGGAGCGACGTCCTTGCCGTTTCTTTTGGCTGGGATCAGAAGGGTTTTTATCCCCATGTAATTATGTGCGATTTCCGTAGACCGATTTTCGTTTTCGGGGCTGCCGTACGACCATGTCGTGTTCCATTGCGACACGAATCAAGCGCTGATTTCACGTTGTGAACCACTTTGGATTCCTTGCGTGGTACACGTGATTGTTGTGACCCGGTGTATGCCGCGGCTCCGTCCCCGCCCTGCCTCCTCTACGCAAGTCATACTGCGGGCACAACCACGATCCCAGCGGAGCGGTGTCGACAGCCGCGAAGGACGCTGTCCCGATACACGCCATCAACGAGAGGATAGACGACATTGGAAGGTGGACAAGAGCGGGTGTGAAGCCTGGAGAAATCTTCAAGCTACTCGGAATGGATCAAGAGGGCAGGGTTTTGTGCAGGGACGGGAAGAAGAAGGTGAGTTTTGTCTTGGTTGCGCTTGCAAAGTGTTCGTATGGCATGAAGTGGTGCCAGTAACAGGGAAAACTAGGGCGTCCTAGTGCTCTGAGCATGTCCTCCCCATCCTCTCCCCACTCATGTATAGTCGATGCCTCTTGATTCGGAGGTGGGGTCTCGCTTGGTCTGTGCGAATGTTGATCCTGCCGCCACCATGTGTATCGTGTGTGTGTTGGCATTGCTGCCCAACGTTAGGTGTACAATGCCATGGCCGCGATTAAAGACCACCTGTACTCGAGTCCCGAAGACGCGGCGAATTTCCTGGCGACTCTCCAGTCGGAGCCCGGTATGTTCGTCGAACGCGAACTCGACTCAATCGGGAGGCTGGAAAACGTCTTCTGGGCTACCGTGGACCAGCAGAACAAGATCGCGAGATATGGGGCATGCATTCAGATGGGTACCATGGTATTCACGAACAGGTACTGGCTCTGTGGTTCAGAGGAGGGCATGGGGAGGGCTCTGGAGTGTGGCTCAGGACCCGACTTGAACTCTCCGCGTCGTAACGCAATGCATCGATTTATGCCTTCGTGCGATGTCGCCATCCGCTCGTGCCTCCTTGCCTTAACCCTGNCCCGACTTGAACTCTCCGCGTCGTAACGCAATGCATTGATTGATGCGTTCGTGCGATGTCGCCATCCGCCCGTGCTTCCTTGCCTTAACCCTATTGACAGATACGGATGCCCTCTTCTTTTCATTGTGGGCGTTGACGACGAAAACCGGAGCTGCATCTTGGCGCAGTGCCTGCTGCGGTCGGAGTGCATTGAGACATTCAATTGGATGTTGACTAGCTGGGACGGCGCTTGTGGAGGCCGGAGGCCGACGGTAGGAGAGATGAATCCCGCAGTCGATNGGACGGCGCTTCTGGAGACCGGAGGCCGAAGGTAGGAGAGATGAATCCAGCAGTCGATATCTCGGAGGTGGCACGTTCTATCGCACCCGTCACGAGGTCACCCGTCACGAGGTCCCCGAGACCGTCCTCGCGCGCCTTCGAATTTGTGCTGGCACGACACATCGCCCTGCCTCCGCACCCTCGAATGCTGATGTGGACAGGTCTTCCTAACGGATGGGGACAAGGCGATGACTGCTGCCCTGCGGGGATGGAAGACGACGTTGCACCTGTACTGTCTGTGGCACATCTTGAAGAACGTCAAGAATTGTGCCTCGTCTTTCCCCGACGCTGATGAGCGCAAGAGGATGCTAGGTCTCTTTCGCAGCGTAGCCTACGCAGCGACGCCGGAGGTGAGATACCGGCCTAGCGACTTTGTGCGTTGACGTCACTATGCCGTGGACGTTTTGCAAGCCCCAGTGACGAATGGAGGATGTTTTCGGAAGGCCCCACTCACCCCCGCCCCTCATGACGTTCATGGCGGCTGG